CTGCCGTGTCCCGGCCCCGGCTCGGGCCGTCCCCAGGTGCCCTGGACATGCCCAGCTTTGCCTTTGACCCCGATGAGTTAGAGGAGGAGGAGGCCTTGGAGACCCAGCGCTCCCCTAAGAGTAGCGTGAGCAGTGTCACCACCCCCCCCGCCCACAACAAGCGCATCCCCTTCTTTAGGAAGGTAAAAGGGCCCCCCCCACCCCCAACCCCACTCGCCTCGCCTGCTGCACCCGCTGCCTGCCCTAACCCTGCCAGGGGGCTGGGGGGCACCCGCTGCCCCAGCACCCCCAGCACTGCAGCATGGGCATGACCCCCTGCAACCCGGGGCTGGGGGGGGTCAGTGTGGGGCTGTGACCCCCCCCACAGGCCATGGGATGGATCAGCCCGTGGCTCTGACCCCCCCGTAGTCCGTGGGTTGAATCCATCCGTGGCCACGTTCCCCCATGATCCATGGGAATGGATCAGCCTGTGGTTTTCCTCCCCCACCACCCCATGGTCCTTGGAAAGGATCCGTCCGTGACTGATCATCCCACCATGGTCCATGGGATGGATCAGCCCGTGGCTGTGACCCCCTCATGGTCCATGGGATGGATCAGCCCGTGGCTGTGACCCCCTCATGGTCCATGGGATGGATCATCCTGTGCCCCCCCAGACCCCCCCAGTGTGTGCATGGTGTGTGCCAGCACGGCCGCTGTCTCATCCCCCCCTGCGACTGGGAATGGAACGTTCCTGCCCCCCCAAACTGGGCACAAGCTGGGGGGGTTCGGGCACAACCCCAACCCAGGGTAGTGGGGGGTCTGCAGGGACATCTGGGGGGGGTTCTGGCCGCCCCCCACACCCTGCAGAGCCCCCCCTGGGCCCCCAGATGTGACCCTGAGCAGGAGATGCTTCATGTGTAACACACACATGTGTCCCTTGGGGCACCCCTGGGGTGAGACACATGTCCCCTGGGTCACACGTGTTCCATGGGGCACCCCCTGGAGTGACACACATGTCCTCTGGGTCACACATGTGTTCCCTGGGTCACACATGTGTCCTTTGGGCACCCTCTGGGGTGACACACGTGTCCCCTGGGTCACATATGTGTTCCCTGGGTCACCCCTGGGGTGACACACATGTCCTCTGGGTCACACACGTGTCCTTCGGTCACCCCTGGGGTGTTACACGCGTGTCCCCTGAGTGACACGCGTGTCCCCGTGCCCCCCCCCCGCCCCCGGTGCCCCCCGTGCCCGCTGGTAACACGCATGCCTTGTTTGTCTCCTCTCGCCCCCCCGGCCCCCGCGGCCCCTCGGGACGTAGCGAAGCAGAAGCAGAAGTCGGTGAGTAGCGTCAGGACCCTCGGGGAGAGGATGGGCAGGGGCTGGGTGGGTGGATGGGGTGCCCCCCCGCTTGCAGCCCCCCCCTTAATCTCCCCCCCAGAGCTGCCCTTGCAGGGGTGAAGCTGAGCGTGTCCCCCCCCACACACACACCCCGTGTCCCCCTCCCCAGCCCTGCTGACCCCCGGCTCTGTCCCCAGGCCGAGCACGTGCCCCCCTACGACGTGGTGCCCTCCATGCGCCCCATCATCCTCGTGGGGCCGTCGCTGAAGGGCTACGAGGTGAGCACTGGGGGGGCACGGGGTGGGGGGCACCCCGAGGGGCACAGTGTCGGGGTGGTGGATCCCAGCCCCATGGTGTCCCTCCCTCCCTACCTTTCCCCCCTGCAAGGTCACGGACATGATGCAGAAAGCCCTGTTCGACTTCCTGAAGCATCGCTTTGATGGCAGGTGAGGTGGGGGGGGACCCCTAACCCCATAGAGGGACCCCTAAATCCACAAGGAGACCCCTAATCCCATGAAAGGAGCCCTAAAACCAAAGTGGGAGCCCTTGTTGGGTCTGTAGAGGACCCCTAAACCCATGGGAGGACCCCTAATCCCACGAGTGGGGCCCCCTAAAACCTCAGGGGGACCCTAATGGGGAATCCTGCAGCTCCAGCAGCCCTGAGCATGGGAGGGAGTGGCAGGAGGGCCCCCTCAAGGGTTGGGGATGCATATAGGGGGGGTCTCACCCCCTTCCCCGTGCCTCCAGGATCTCCATCACGCGGGTCACGGCCGACATCTCCCTGGCCAAGCGCTCCGTGCTCAACAACCCCAGCAAACACACCATCATCGAGCGCTCCAGCACCCGCTCCAGCCTGGGTACGGCCCCCCATGAGCCCCCCCCGGGGGAAACAGGACCCCTCCCCCCCAAGCCTCCATCTGTATCAGCCCCCAGCCCACCCCGGGGTGCTCGCGGGGTGTGTGGGGGTGTGGGGTGATCAACCCCGCGCCCTGCACTCCCCCCGTGTGACTCAGCCCCTCCTCCTCCTCCTCCTCCTCCTCCCCCTCCTCCTCTTTTATCTTCTCTGTTGTGTTTTTTCTTTCCTGTTTCTCCTTTTCCTTTTGGGGTTCCTCCCCTCCGTGCCGCTTCCTTCCTCCCCTGCTCCTGATACAGATGTCTTGGGTATGTAACGCGGGGTCCCCCCCCGGCAGCCCCCCCTGCCCTGCCCGGCGGGGGGCACTGGGGACATGTCCCCTTGGATCCTGTCACTTGGGCAGAGTGGGGTTGGGGTCGCTCTGGTGGCACAGCCCCATTTGACCCCCCCTACCCTCCATGTGTGGTTCTGGGGGGGCTCTGCCCCTTCCTCACCCACCTGGAGCCCCCCAGTCCCACCTCCCTCCCGTGGCTGGGCTGACACTGGAGTGGCCGAGTCCCAGTGCAGACCCCTCGTGCCCCCCACCCCATCTCCCAGCCGTCGTCCCCACGTGTGTCCCCTGACCCCCCTGTCCGTGTCCCCCCCTCCCCAGCCGAGGTGCAGAGCGAGACCGAGCGGATCTTCGAGCTGGCCCGGACGCTGCAGTTGGTGGCCCTGGACGCCGACACCATCAACCACCCGGCCCAGCTGGCCAAGACTTCCCTGGCCCCCATCATCGTCTACATCAAAATCACCTCCCCCAAGGTGGGTCTGGGGGTCCTGGGGCGGGCGGGTGGGGGGGGGAGGGCATGTCCAGCCCCCTCCCTGCCATGCTGGGGGGGTTGGGTGGGGTCTGGCCGTGTCCCTGAGGCCACCCCGGGCTGTCCCCTCGTGCCCCAGGTGCTGCAGCGCCTGGTGAAGTCGCGGGGCAAGTCGCAGGCGAAGCATCTCAACGTGCAGATGGTGGCCTCGGACAAGCTGGCGCAGTGCCCACCTGTAAGTGTGCCACGCCCACCGCGGCCACGCCTGCTCTGGCCCCGCCCACCTGTCCCAACCTGTCACCACTCTGTCCCGCCCTCTCCCGCTGCTCCCACCTTGTCCTGTAGGCTCTGCCCTTTCCCATGGGCTTCACCTTGTCCATAGGGATCCACCTTGTCCGTAGGGATCCACCCTTGGTCCAGAAGCCCTGTCCCTTTCCAATGGCCCTGCCTTTTTCCACTGGCTCCGCCCTTTTCCATTAGCTCCACCCTGTCCTATAGGCTCTGCTGTGTCTTATAGGCTCCCCCATGTCCTATAAACCCCGCCCCATCCTATAGGGTCTGGCCCATCCTATAAGCCCCTCCCTATCCCATAGACCTCACCCTGCACCAGAAGGCCTTCTGTGTCCCTCTGCTCTGCCCCACATCCCCTCTGCCCTCCCCTGTCCCCTCCCCAGGAGATGTTTGACATCGTGCTGGACGAGAACCAGCTGGAGGAGGCCTGTGAGCACCTGGCCGAGTACCTGGAGGCCTACTGGAAGGCCACTCACCCCCCCAGCAGCAACCCCCCGAACCCGCTGCTGAACCGCACCATGGCCTCGGCGGCGCTGGCCGCCAGCCCCGCGCCCGTCTCCAACCTCCAGGTACAGGTGCTCACGTCCCTGCGCAGGAACCTCAACCTGTGGGGCCGAGAGGCCACCCCCAGCCCCCCCGGAGCCCTCGAGGAGCACGC